TTAAAAAAATAAAGTTTGTTGTGACATATATTGATCATCTATGATCAGTTTAGTTAGCATGTTGTTGACTTTAGATTGCAGATGACATTGGTTTCGAACGTGAATCCCCATATAAGAAAGTTGGGATAATTTTAATATCTAAGGGTTAGATGTTTGTAATATAATGAGATAAAATTGCAGCCACTTTTAAAGCTTTTTATTGAAGTTTTTACGGTGTCTCAACATCATAGGTTCATGCAGCAGTACACCAATTGACAAAATCGATTTAAGGAATATTCAATGCCTGACTAACTTGCCGTTAATTGAGACTTGAGAGCTCTGATTCGTTAAGGAGTTCAGATATATTTCAATAGTTCTATATTGAAAAATCTGGAACATTGGAATACAAACATCACACTTTAACGATATTTAAAAAGAATTTTTTTTTAAACTAACAGCATACTCTGCCTATAAATTTGTAATAGAGTTAATAATTCCATTTATATTACTCCAAACTTTAAAATTGTTAGTCCAACCTAAACTCTAAATTTTATTTTAGGAAAAATATACTTTTTTAGTTTTTAGTTTTGTTATTCTTTTGCAACTCTCGCACGTTCCCAATTTTTATCTTTGGAATTTTTACTAAAAGTGCAAAATTTTCATACCAATTGTCATCAGTGGAAAAATTGCACCAGTTTGTCACCTGAAGGAAAATGTTACATTTTTTGCAATTTTGGCATTTTATCAAAATGGGTGTGGCAGTGATTTAAAGGACGTTTGCATTCATTCTACTTGCATATGAAAACATGTCCTTTTAGGCTTGAATATAAGCCGAAATATTCCCTGAACCATAGAAGGTAGTTTTTTGATTTTTTAACTATAACACCTAACAAATTTTTTTAATTTTCAACAAAACTTATCAAAAAATTTCGAATTAAGAGTTGATAAAACCAAATGCAGAATTTTTATAAGTAATTCGAGTAATAAGTACAGTGGACGTCCAATATAACGAATTTTATGTTGCACCCCTTGTTCGTTATATCGAAAAATTCGTAATATCGAATGTTATACATTTACCTACCAATATGGTTATTTTTAGGAGATTTCATATATTTGAGTTCATAAATTAACTTATAAACACGTACGAGTATATATTTATTTGAAAGTATTTTTTATTCGGTTGTTACAAAATTATTTATAAGAAAGGACGCATTCAATCATAGTGTAGAGTAAAAAAAATCATTAATTTTTGTTTGTTTTTTACTACACTCAAGACTTTTCTGAACAGCTTTTTCTTGTAGTTTTCTTAGTACAGCTAATTTTGAAGTTTCATTATTGTTAATCGCCCACTTTATGCATTTTTCGAAATGATTTATGGCATCTTTATGTTTAATAATTTCTAAATTATTTTCTTCTATATTTTCGTCATCAGATCTATCATCCTCGTCCGAGACATCGATGGTATTATCAGCATTATTCCATTTATTAACTTCGTATGTACTAATGTCACACTAACAATAAATAGTTAGATAGTATTGGATAGTATTTCGTATATGATAAACTGAATTTGTGAACAACAGATCAGTGGCGCCTGCATATATGCATTTTGCCATATATAGGCATTTTTCTCAGAAAAAAAAAAACGGACAATTACATGCATATTCTAAGCTGAATAATGCTAGTTTTATAGTAAAATTATATTCAAAAGCATAATTTGTATAAAACAAAAACGAATAAGAAACAAAAAATTTTTTGTTCGTAATATGGGGCAGAATTTTTTTTTTCGTTCGTTATATAGAACAATCAATGTAAATATTTTGGGTGTTCGTTATATCGAAAATTCGTAATATCGAGCGTTCGTTATACTGGACGACCACTGTAATTAATCATATAGACACTCAGAAAGTTCAATCCAAACAAATTGTTTCTTCTACATAAAATAATTCTTAATTTATTAATTATAATTACAATTTTAATGATAATTATAATTCAGCTATAGGACTAAGATTGGGAATAGTTGAAGGGTTATAGCGCATGCGCGGGGATTGGGATAGTGGTAGGTTATGTGATCTGGTTAACGAGAGCCGCGGTTGTAGAAAGCGACGATAAGGTCATCAGAGTTCCGCTCATTGAAGTACAGGGTGAGATATTGAGGAGATTTGTAACGCAAGTATTGAACGAGGTTCGTGGGGATGTTACTGAGGGCGGAAATATGGGGCGGCGGTGGGGAAGTTTGTGCAGCAGGATAAGATATCTTCGGGCAAAAAATATTCGATCAGCGGTTGAAAAATTATAATATTTGTATTATAATATGCAAACAATGAAACAACGGTATTAGCAATTTCAAACTGCAGTTTTATTAATTTTATCGAATGTCTGATTTAACACGGTTTCGATATTAATTCACAGTTTTACAGGATCTATAACTACAGAACAATATTCATTCGCTCATATCTACATATTCTTATTGCTAGTAAGGTGTTATATTTTTTGTTAGACTTACTGAGTATGTGCTTCAGCTATGTTAGATTTTGTTTAAATTTAAAATGCAAATTACAAATGCTTCGTATCTATTCTTATAAAATCTTCACTCTATTTTATCTAAAAGGGATTTATTTAATTTTTTTTTATTTTTTTAATTTTTTTTTATGTAGATTTATGTTTTATTTTCCATTCATTTTTGGCATTATGTCAAAGGTTCTAAAAAAATGTTTTTGGCATGTTTCTATGTGCGATAAAATAAATTAATTTCTCAGATAAAGTTAAATAAAATTATTCAATTCGCCTCTGGTTTATGCCTTTCAAAGTGGTAATGATTCCAGAGAATAAACGTCTGTAGGAAAGTGTAGAAGACAGGATGCGATGAGATTGCAAGCGATATATGGTTGCCAAATTATTTTAAAAAGTTCACGTTTGAAATTTTCTCGGTAAGAATGAAAATATTTACAGCGATTTAATACAAAACAAAGCTATTTAAAATGATAAGATATAAATAATTTTTCAAAAAAAATTTTTATTTTATTATTAGAGGGAAGAATATACGCTTAGAAATATTTTTATTCAAACTAGAATAAAATTCTATAAGTTCAGTCATTTGCATTCAATATATTTTCAATACCTGAATTCATTATATTTATTATTATATATTCATCATATAATTATTATTTTTTATTTTATCATTCATTGTTTTTTATTCAAAATAGTTTTATTAAAGAAATTCATATGCATAGTATAAATATTCAAATAACTGATATAACTTGTCTTCTCTCTTTACAGTTGGGTGTATTAAAGTTGTAAGAAGTTGTGGAATCAGTGAGCAACGATTAATTCTTCTGCTGAAATAATTTAAGTATTCTGCGAGCAAAATACTGTGGTCCTCTTACGAACAAGCTCGAAAGATGCCGCATTTAATTTAAACAAAACGAGAGCCAAACAATTTTTTAGTGATAAATGTTTAAAAAGTGCATTTAAGTGCGAATAAAAGGAATTTAAAAATTTATACTAAACAAAAGACTGCCAACAAAAATGACATTCGTGGAATTGCATAAAAGAAAACATTAAAAATAAAATCAAAACGAATGCATAACGGAGAAAAATTGCAATTTTGAAGTTAGTTAACATATTTTCTTTTTATGGAGACTAGAATGATTATTATTCCTAAAAATAAAAATAGGAGCGAAATTGCAATTGCTACAAAACTGCACTAACTGCAACTTCTCGACTGGCAGAAAATAAATATTTTTTTCTGAAATTTCATACTAGCTGCATTATACATTGTTTAGACGCTATTCTTCGACCAAACAGCTGTCATTTTAGAACTGTCAGTAAACATAGAACAATTCATCTGTCAGTAGTTGACGTTTCACCACAAATGCACTGAATTTCTTATATTCAAGAAATAAGAATAAAATAAATAAGAATAAAATAACAACAATAAATACCAAACAACAAAAAGAAATAGTGGTAAAAAGGGAATTTAAATTGAATGGAATTGTTTTTCTTTACTATTTTCAGAAAAAGAAAAAATTCTAAAATTATATGAAAAATTGTTTAAAAATTTAAATTAATACATATGTGTGTATAAACAAAAATTGCGCTTATGAATACATTTGAATAAACATAATTATTCTAATCAATATTATTAATATTAAAATAATATTAAACACTGGCAACACTGAAAAGCAAACACCGCCACGCTGAAAAACAGTTAAAAAGAATTTAAAAGCAAAATAAAGCAAAAGAAACTCTAATTAAAACGCACTCTGCACTTAACAAAAGCACTTTTACAATAAAGCAATTTATAAAATTCAATAAAAAATAAAAAATAAATTTAACTATATAATATAAACACAAAAAGTAGTTAAAACTTTTAAAACAACGCGAATTTTCATAAAATTCGAATTACAGAAAAAACTTATTGCCGGTTACAAAATTTGCGTTTTTTTATTAATAACGAAGAGGAAGAGAAAATTTGAAAACTTAAACAAAACTAAAAATAAAAAGTTCCATTCGAAAATAGTAATTTACAATAAATAAATAAAGAAAATAGAAAAGAAAGTGTTTAAATTGCAAAAAAAGGAAACATTTCAAGATTATTTAGTATTTAATAAAAACTAAAATGATGTGCACCTAAAATACACTACAACTACAACAAGCACCATTGCTGCCATTAAAAAATACGTATATAACGGCCCACGTTGGCGTATAGCATTTAATAAAAACAGCAACAATAATAAGAAGAGCAATAATAACAAATACAACTACTACTACGGCAGAAGATATAATAACAAACATAAATATAAAAACACTAATAACCATAAAAACAAAATCCACATTAAGAAAAGTAACAAAAGCAACAAAAGCAAAAACAACAATCACAATAGAAGCAACAAGACTACTGCATTGATAAATTCAATTGAGTGTGCGCGTTGTGAATTTCAAGTAAAGGCAACAACTGAATTTTATACCATAACCGAGAAAAGTGCACCCACACCTACTTCATGTAGAAGGGGTAGGCGGTGTCGTTGGCGCATTAGCGCAAGGCTGCCATTTGTAGGCGATGCACCGTATTGCGGAACGAGTGTAAGTAATAAATGCAAAAATAATTTCTTTCATTTTATTCTCTTCTTTTTTTTATATTGTTTCTTTTTTTATTGTTGTGTTCTTTTGTTGACAAAGAAAAGCAAAACAACAACAACAACACCAGACAAAGATGTGAGATTTTCCTTTTGAATTGTTGTTGTTGTTGTTGTGGAGAATATTATATTTTGAGCAGAGCAACTTAAAAATACAAATGATACTTTATGTGCTTCATAAATTCTTTTCGAAATTATTTTTAATACAATAATATGTTTATTTTATTCGAATAATATTTTTAAGTAAAAAAAGTAACCGGATTTATTGACTACAACACAAGATGAGAATCAAACGATGAAAATTTATTTGAACACTTTTAAAACATACCTAACGAATCTTCCACGATTCCTCCTCAATCAAGATTCTAGATAGATTTTTCCCAGACAATTTGAGGTGTGCCGTTTAACTTTTACAACAAACTGTCTCTTATTCCGCAATTGACACAAAACGTTTTTTTAAATGCTAGTTCTGAGCTTTGAAAATAGACAAACGTCACATACGCCTTCGGCAGGCACATGTGGTATTTGATTGCTACGGTACTTTTTGGTGAAAATTTTTGCAAAACGATAGCATCGACTCACCGTAGAGCATGCAAAAGTATAATTACAAATACGACTGATGTAAGCACACTAACAGATCATTTTCGAACATAGCATCATAACACAGTACAGTGACAAAAATTATCTTACCTCCACCTTTTGAAATTATTAATTGCGAATACTTTTCATACAGAATACATACATATATCATATATATAGATATATAAATATATAATATATATATAAATATATAATATATGTAAATATATAATATTAAGATATTGAGAGTTTGCAGCTTGTGTAATATAAGTGAAAGAGAAGATATTAGATATCTTTTCGATGAATACTTAATACTTAGAATGTATAGGATGGTGGATTCTAATATTTTTACAAAGAAATAATGCATTATATAGAATTAAGGGTTATGTTTTATTTTATATAGACATTAGTTACACGAATTATTTAAATTATATTATTAAGATTACATGTTCAATAAGTTTTACTGTGAGCAACTTTATCAAATAACTATCAATTGATATCCCATAAATTTTATTATAATCAGTTGATTTACAAATTCAATATATTACACTATTGTAAATAGTAATATTTAAATCTGAATTATTCCAAGACCACAGTTAATAGGTATTTGGCAATTACCGAAATAGCTGCATGGTTAGCCAAAAATTCAATGAATTAAAATAGTATATTATAAAAGAATTTTTGTTGTTATAGTTTACTACTTCTCGAAACCTCTCTAACAAATATATTAGTTTTTATTTAGGTAAAATAGTCACTACCGTTATAACTGATGTTAAATTACAATTAAAATAAATTTTACTTTAATAATAGTTATAAATCATATAAAATGTTATCGATTATTGGATGTATTCAATAGCTCCCATTGTAGTTTTTTATAAGTATTTAAAAATTAACTCGAAGAAACCTTGTGTAGTTTATGGTTAAATACGTTATCGGATATATTTAGGAATATTTTATATTAACACGTGTGTAAGCTTAAACATGTTTAACAACAGGTTAAAAGAGTTAAACTTGCAAAACGGAGTTAAACTGCTTAACACGTTATTTTAAAAGGAGTATTCATCACTAAGTAGAAGTGGAAGCCTTTTAGAAATATTTTAAAAAATAATTTATTATTGCTGCACCTCACGTTTCACGTATAGGAGACTTTCTCCAGACAAAGTACAATAGAATTTATGAATTGTCATTGTGTAAGAGAATAATTTCTTTCGATTTTAACATCCACTTTTAAGAAATTCATCGAAAACTGCTTTCACAGGTCCTAAACCCTTTTGTGGGATAAACTGGGCCAGTACAAAACAAATTATCAAGAAAAGGGAAAATAAAATGCGGCTGGCATACTGGGAAGACTTCCCAGGACTTAGACAAAGTTAAGCACTGATATCACCGTACTCCTACACAAACATCCTTAAATTCTTAAAATGTAATTTAAGGTTGCTAACAGGTTTCTTTACAGTTCATTATGGACTGAAATATTACCTTCATAAACTACAATTATCTGCTAATTCGAAATGCAGATTATGCCTCGAAGATGAAGAAACTACGCTCAGAAAAAACTTGTTTCATATGGAACTACTGTCACCAGAACAGATTAAGAACTCTTTTCTAGATTTAGTTCTAGACTTTATTCACAAATCTTTAAGGGACTTTGGGTAATCAATAATTAAACTGGTACAATAGGACTCTTCTGGTCGCAGTACCGGCTGTTGAACGATTTCACGCTTTAAACTTCCACTTAAAACTCTTACTTTGTAATGACATCATATATGTGCAAAATATGCCAGATATACGGGCGTTGTAATAAATAGAAATTTATTTAAAGCTTAATATTAATACTATTCTACGATATTTTAATTCACTTCAAATGACAAAATCCACATTTATAATTCTTGTCTCTTAAAAAATATTTTTCGTATTATTCGAATCTAAAGTAAACTTTGCTATTCTCCACAAAAGTCATTGATATCTACCAAGTTTAAAGTACTTTGATTACAAAAAAATGCAAGCTTTAAAAATTTTTTGTGTTGGTTTTATCTCCATTTTTTAAAACTTCAAACGCAATTTGCTGAACTCCATCATAACTGAGAGACAAAAAACATTTTCAAACTTTTTTATACATTTTATATGAAAAATGTGGATTCGAAATTAACTTGGCACTTTATTCGAATGTCAATAAAAAAAACTTCAAAGTCAGTCATTTGCTGTAAATACTCGTATTTTAAAAAGTATCGCCAAACAAGCAGCCATGAAAAAAATATGGATGCGTGTGTATGCAAAATGAATAACAAACAGTTTTACGATTATTTGCAATAAGAACAAGCACAGAATCATGGAGAGCATAGGCCAGTTTTGAATCAAAACACAGGAAAGCATGGAGAGGCACATAGACAAAAAACAGAAACCGAAAGAAAAATAATAATAATAATAATATAAATATATTTTTATAGCAAAATTTTATATTGAATGCGAAAAAACGCAGTAGCAAAATAAAATTGCCAGTTAAAAATTCGCATATATATTTTTACTGATATAGCACGAACATGCAACATAGTAGCACAAAAAATAGCACATAAAAAATATAATATAATAAAGTGGCTCAACAAAGCTGAGGGATATGTGAGAGTAGCACCAAAAAAACAAGAAGACAAAAAAACAAAAAGACCAAAAGAAGGGAGTGAAGACGAAGAAAAGGAAAAAACAGCGAAACGACACGGAATGAAGACAAAGTGGAATAGAATTTGACAAACAATTTCAATAAATTTTGAAAGTAAGTGACAGAAGACGAGGAAAAATGGCGACAGTCAAATGTAACGTTGAAAGGACACCGAACGGAAGCGTAACGCAAACGAAAGTCTCTAATGTTGACAGCGAAAAGATTTTATGTGCTAAGCACTAAACGAGTACATACTAATGCTTATACATATACATAAGCACACACACACTCACACATAGCTACTATACACACATGTTAATAATTGCTCTTAACAGTTTTCGTTGCTTAAGCTGAAAATCGCGTAAGTCGCTAGTTGATATGATCGGCTCGCTGTCACAATTTCCTTTTAACTGACAAAATGTCAGTCCTCAAGCGTAAGTTTGGAAGAGGACACCACTAAAATGGCAAATCCGCGCGTTTGTCGATGCTTTCCTCTACTTTTCGACAACCTCTTTGAAGTACAAAGTAAGGAAATATGTTAGGGCCATTAGATTTATGTACTCGTGTGTGCATTTTTACTATGTAGAAAGTAGAAAGTAGAGAAAGTTTTCAAAGAGAAATTGTTAAAAAATTTGTGACTTGGAAAAGCTAAAATCCGTGATAATATAATGAAGGAAAGGAATTTAGTTGAGACTTTTATGTTGGTTACATAATTTTGGATCGGAATTTATGTATTTCATAATGAATATGTAACGATAAAAATAATGTTTTCATAAAAAAGTAGTTTATATTTTAATCTATGATAATTCGACTAATATTAATGTCTGCAAGTACGCAGAAAATATAAACATCAAAATTTAGTACTTTATATTCATTGTAATATTTAACTATTGCCTTATATGATGGTTTCGAAAAGTAGTAAATTACAAAAACAAAAATTTTTTATTTTTGTATCACCTTACTGACTCTGAGCTTAAAATTTGACAGGCCACGAGTTCAACCTGTAATAGTTGCAGTCTCAAAAAATTTTTTTATGAATAATTAAATACAAGAAATAATTCCAAGACTACTGATGATGGGTATTTGGCAATACTCGAAACAGCTATATGATCCGCCAAAAATTTTTATTGTTGTAGTTCACTAATTTTGGAAACCTCTCTATTAAATACCACAGTTTCTATTAAATGAAAAAAGAGTCATTCCTGTTATATTGACGCTAAAATCAAATTTAATAATATAAAAAAAATTTTAATATGATTATAGTTTTTCGTATGACATTTGGCCTAAAACCGAAACCCAAATATATATATCATGAGATAACGTACTTTAAAAGTATTTCCTAAAAGTATTTTAACTTTAGAGAGCTCCAAATTATACCTGGTTCACACGGCAATATTGATTAATCTATATAATAAATTACAGCACAAGGAAAGTAGCACGCATCTACAGTAGAGAGTCAGATTGATGAAATAGCTATATTAATCGCATAGCATCAAGTAAAAATGCTGCAAATATTCAGAATAATAAACAAACAATAAACTAGCATACAAGAGAAAGGGAACGGAATACTATCGTATAGAAAACCCTTATTTACAGCAGTAATAGCATACTAATCATTCCTTGTTTCGATTGCAATGGTTCTTTGCGAAAACCGCTCTTAAATCTATCTGATTAGATAGATAGAATTTACTTTGCACAAATCTTCAAAAGGTAGT